CCTTTTTGACATCAATTATCTGATATTTTTTGGAGAGTAAATATTTTTTTCAAGATGGACATTTTACATATTTTGATGTTGTGATGGAGTATTGGAGTTCTAAATTGTTTAGAAAAAAAAAAAACAAGTATCTGTTTTTTTGTGTGATGGGGTTTTTATTTTTCTTTTTATATATAAAAACTGATTTATGTGAGAAAGTAAATATATTTTGTTTCCATTTGTTCAAAGTATTGTGTTAATTTTGTTATACAACAGATGCCAAGCTCGTCGCTGTTTGCACAATCAGCAGGATCGTCGAGGAGAGTAACGTCGGATGAGCTACAGAGATGCCGTACGAGCGGCGGATTAAGAAACTCTCCGGTGGTTTCAACGTCGGAAGGGAAGAGATCTTCTTCCACAAGAAAACATTACGATTCTGCGATCAAAGGCATCGAAAGCCTCCAAGTCTCCGACGAAAGGTTTCACCACCATTGAACAATGTCGTATTTGTTCACAAATTTTAATCATATAAAAGAACCTTCGACTCTATATTGGAGAAACGAGATAAAAATTTGCTGATTTTTTTCCTAAATTTAATTCTCTGTTTTTTGTATTGTTTTACTACGAAGTGAAATTATTATTACAGTGTTTGGAATTGTATCAAGTTATAGCTTTTAGTAGCACCAAAAAAAAAGTTATAGCTTTTAGTAATTGTGGAAATAGTATTTTTTGAGAAATTTAAAAAAGAGACAATTACAAAAATAATATTTTTTGTGTCCATATTTGCAAGAATGCCATTTAGGGGGTGTTCATTTAAAAAAATACCACTAATTATATATTTATAAAGCTTATATCTTAAAATTCTAAACCCTAAAAAATATTTTGATACCTAAAACCCCTTAAAGATTCAAAACTAAATCCTAATAGAACATAATTAACCCAAACATAAATAATATAAAGAAAAAATAATTTTGAAAAAGTGGCATTTTTGTAAAGATTTCAAAAATGTGGTATTTTTGTAAAGTGGCACTTGAATAGTGGCATTTTTTGAAATTTTTCTTTAAAAAAATGCCATTTTCCAAGTTCAACTTTTCAAAAATCCGACATTTTCAAAATCTTTGCAAAAATACCATTTTTCAAAATTATTTTTTTTATTATATAA